GGCTCCACTTCAGGCCTCACTCAGTTCTGTGTCTGGAGAAGGATGCCAAGCTCTTGGGACACAAACTGTCCAAGAGTTCTGAGAGCATTCCCCGGCCACTGAAAAGTATTTTACAAGGATTAGCAGCTACTCCAGAAAGCTTCCAAGCCCAAGAAATCTAAGAACTAGGAAGCCAAATTCTACTCCAGGACGGCCTCATTCCAGGAAGCTGGTCTTCCAGTTCACTTTTACTCGGTTTAGAAACAACCATGAGGCCGGGTGTGGTGGCTTATGCCTGTAATCCCAGCACTTTGGGAGGCCGAGGTGGGCAGATCACCTGAGGTCAGGAGTTCGAGACCAGCCTGACCAACATGGAGAAACCCCATCTCTACTAAAAATACAAAATTAGCCGGGCATGGTGGCGCATGCCTGTAATTCCAGCTACTCGGGAAGGCTGAGGCAGGAGAATCGCTTGAACCCAGAAGGTGGAGGTTGCAGTGAGCTGAGATTGTGCCACTGCACTCTAGCCTGGGCAACTAAGAGCGAAACTCTGTCTCAAAAAAAAAAAAAAAAAAAAAAAAGAGAAAAAAGAAACAACCATGAAAAGGAGGCACAGTGACTGCTCTGAAGTCCCCCAGATACTGCCTGGCACCTTCTCTTCCGCAGCAGCACCTCCAACCAGCGTCATGTGGCATGGGAGGCATGGAGCTTGGCTGGTCCCAGGGATCACACAGCCCCAGAGCGGGTGGCTGTAGGAACCACCTGGCCAGTATTACTCTAAATGAGCAGAAATGCTTCAAAGTGAGATGGGTGGTGAGATGGGTTGGTGTGTGTAGGGTCACAGGATCCACCCAGGGCCAGAAGCACTACTGGCTCACTCCTGCAGACCAGCGCCAGGCGAGTGCCAGGACCCTCTGGCCTCCCGCGTGGTCAGATCACCCATGGACATCGACTCTTTGTGGCCCCCGTGACTCTGGCATGCTGGCTGGAGTCCACCCTGCCCAGGCCCCTGCTTCATCCACAGGCCTGGAGTGGGGACAGAATGCTCAGCCCCGTGGCAGCCCCACAGGAGTGGCCCGGGCAGTGTGCCGCCACTGAGGTCCAGCTCTCCCATGGCTCCCTCTCACAGGCTCTTCTGAACTGGGAGCTCCTCACAGGGGCCCCAGCACCATGGGCAAGCAAGGCCCACAGGGCTGCTGGGACTGAGGCCTCTAGCTGCTCCTGCTTCCCCCAGTTTTCACTGTCCACCCTCCAGTTACGTCATCACGTACCAGCAACCACAAACATCAACAGGCAGGATGGAGAATGGATTCTGCACGCACGGGTGCCGTGGAGAGTGAAGGAGTGAGAATGTGAGGGTGGAAAACGACCTGCTCTGTCATACTTCTTTTAGCTCACCTACAAAATATTTGGTGGGGGAAAGGCTGAAACTACTAAGCTGTGATGGTCTTTGAGTGCTGAGGGTCTGAACACGGAGCTAAGTCTCATTCCAATCACTGTGAGTAACAGAGCAGCCTTGATACCGGCAGCCATAAGAGGTGTGGTGTCAACAAGGGAAAGCCTGGGTTGGTTATTTGGGTTTTATCAAATTCCAATTACCTGATGCAGGCTTACAGGGCCTTCCGTGTGAAAAAAGAGGGACAAGAAAAGAAAGGTAACAGGAGTTAACAGGGACTGCTCAGGGGAAGGACAAAGAGGAATCTGGCCCTTTGCTTTAAAAACAAATGCATGATGATAGATCTGACCTATTTCCAAAAAATCCCTGCCTAGCCTGTAAACCAAGACATGACTTTCACCAAGAGATTCCTTCTTGATCTGAAGGCAAGTAACGGCTGGGAAGATATTCTAGGCTTCATAAATGCTGAGTCTCATCCAAACATCTTTTGGATGGGATCAGACTGTGAATACAAGTATTGAAAATCACATATATTTGTGTGTATGTAAACGGACACATATAAAAAGGGTCAGTAGGAAATAAACTACAGTGTTAACAAGGATTTTCTCAGAGTAATGTTCATTTTCTTATTTATTCTATTGAGGGTTCTTTTTTTTTAGCTAATTCTTTGTTTCTAGAATAATCATGATGTTTTGCTTATGAAAATTTATTTAAAGTAGAATAATGCCTTAAATTGTAGTTGCTATGTTTCTTTAAAAGCTTATTTATCTAATTTATACATTTGGTTTCAGATAGATTTGCTGTGAAGAATATTTTAACCACATTCTAGGGCCCAAGAGATTGCTACTCCTCCTGTAATGTTGAATGGATGCCCAGGTCATGCTTCTTGTCTGGAGACAAGAGCAGAGGCACCTCCCCAACAAAACTCCAAATCACCGCAGGGCCACGCCACAGACCCCACCTCCTCGGCGCCACAGACAGGCACAGACCTGTAAACCTTGGATGCACATTACAACTGGAAAACCAACAAGCTCCATGCTGCTCCTCTGAAGACTGCCCTTCCTCCCAAAGCGGGAGACAGAGACCCACACTTGGAAGGGCCTCACGCACTGACAAAATACAAAGTGGCTTCCTGGGGAGGACAGTGCGGCCTGGAGATGAGGGTCGCTCATCATGGGGAGGAGGGAGGAGTAGGGTGTGGGGGCCAGGCAGATGCCCAGGGGGGTGAGGCAGAAGGCATGTCCAATCGCTGCTCCCAGGGACACTGTTTCTTGGTGCTAGACCTTTGGTCAACTTTTCAAAAGAGGCTGGAAACACAGATTTTTATCATACTGGCAACTAAAAATCTCTTTCAAAAACACCACTGGGCTGGGTGCAGTGGCTCACGCCTGTACTCCCAGCACTTTGGGAGGCCAAGGCGGGAGGATCTTTTGAGCCCAGGAGTTTGACGCCAGCCTGGGCAACATGGCAAAACCCCATCTCCACTAAATATAAAAAATTAGCCAGATGTTGTGGTGGTGGGTGCCTGGAGTCCCAGCAACTCAGGAGGCTAATGTGAGAGGATCACCTGAACATGGAAGGTCGAGGCTGCAGTGAGCCATGATCACACCCCTGCAGTCCAGCTGGGGCAACAGAGCCACGCCCTGTCTCAGAACAAAACAAAACAACAAAACAAAATGCCACTGTAGGCTCTCCTACTCCAGTGTGGCAAACAGGTGGAAGGAAATCATTAAGGATGGGCAACACCCTGGGAGGCTCAGCCTCCCCTACCCAAGCCCAGCCCTACTCTCCCATGCCACGGGGCTGGACCAGGAGAACCCAAAGTTCTCCCTCATAGCAGTCTGCCACTTCCTTAGGAAATCCACAGAGCAAAATCTGTAGGCTGTGTGTCTACAGTAGCCCAAACAATCAAGTTAAAGAAAATCTATTCAATTCAAACATTTGCTGGGAGCCCACAATGTACTAGGCCACACAGGGCAATGCACCCCACACACCCTCCCTTAAGAACCAGCTCACGTGCCCGGCAGCAAAGGCACCTGCCCAAGGAGGCCAGCAAAGGTGCAAAAGCTGTGAGGGTCAAGTCTGAGGTCTGTTGATGGTGAACCTGCAGTCCTTGTAGCTTCGTGTTTATACCTAAGCCCCAAATCCTTTCTGGGCTGTACTATGTATATTTAAGGAACATTGAAGTCAGAAAAACAAAACTCTCATCATTTTGGTATACTGTTAGTTTCTTTTTGAGTTTGTGCTTCTTACAAGTGGCAAAACTTAGAGATGAAAAATTCCTAGAAGTTCTACTTTTCCGTTAGAAAAATCAAATGCCTCTTAGTACACTACATGTGTTTTACAATTAAGACACCCAAATAAAAAAGTCAGATTTACAAAGTATTAAATAACCTTACAATTTCTGTTCTTCTTACCAGCATTAAAAAAACAAAAACAAAAAGAAACAGAAATTCCTTTTTTAGCCAGTCATTTCCTAAGTTTCTGTGATTAAGTCTATTATAGACTGAACACCCAAACTCATAAGCCCAGATGCCTGCAGAGGGAGTCTGGAGCCTCTCAGTACCTCCTGTGTTCCTCTGTGGCCTCCTCCTTTCCTCCTCCTCCCACCCCACCAGCTCACCTGCTGCCTCAGCAATATCAGGCCCAGCTTTGCAAGCCTTAAACTCCCAAACACGCAAGGCCAGACTCACTATGTGCAAACCAATCTAGCTACAAAGTGACCCCAGAGCCCCTGCCTCATCCTGTTCTAATGCTGTCAGCACCTGCCTCTCAGGCTGTCCTTCACAGAACACCCGCCGTGTGCAAGCCCTCGTTGTTCTCAAATAACCTCGTTTGTTTGAGAACAACCTCAAGGTTGTTCTCAAACCTCGTACCCACAGATGCAGCCCTTTCCTTGGAGCCTCACTTGTAGGACTGTTCCCAGGGCCATGTGCCCAGAGCCTCTGCCTTCGACTTCATGGGCTTGATACATCTGCACCTTTCTCCTTCCACATCTCCAAAAGCAAATACACAACGTGAAAAAACACACAAGATCCAAGTTCACTCAAGGAGACTACAATACCTACAAGGCCAGCACAAAATTCCACAGAAACCAAAGTACTGTATATCTGGATTTTTTAGGGGTATAAAAAACTAATTTGTTTTAAAAAAGAAACTATATTTTTTAGTGGTCATCTTTTCTAAAGGCAGTTAGGCTCCTAGAATGCACAACTGACAAGGCATCTCCAACATGATGGCTTCAGCTGACTTCTCAGGTTGTCAACATTTTTACTCACCTCAGCTGAAGACAGACACGCTGGGCCCCCAGTGCAGTGTAGTCTTCTGTGGACACAAATCCAGCACCGGAGAGCAACCCTAGCACAGAAAGTCCTCCAGCTGGGAAGGGGCACAGGGACCTTTCTGGGTAATAAAAGTGTTCTATTTCTCAATCTGGGTGGTAGCTCTACCTCTCTCTCTATAAAGATATAGGTATATAAACTGTACACTTAAGATATATACCCTTCACTGCATGTAAACTAAATCACCATTAAAGTAAAAAGACATTAAAGTAAAAAAAATCAGACATCATCATGAAAAGGAACCCTTACTAAAATTAAAGGAAAAATGGACACATACCACTTACCGAAATTCAAGAAAATCAGTTTGGCCTGTATTCCAGGACATAGTTTGATGAGAAATGGAATGGCAATGTACAACCCCAAAACACAGAAGAGTATCTTCCTCAGGCGCAACCATAGGCCCTTTCGCCTGCAAGAGAAAAGCAATGAATCGGTCAAAAGGCAGTAGGTGTCATTTTGCTGTAGTTTGTCAATAGTGTCATGAAAATCCCTAAAGAGCCACACGTATTTTTTTTTTTTCCACAAGGATACTGCCAATAATAAAAGCAGCCTCCCACCTGCCTTTGCTCAAGTAATTATTTTAGATAGTCTTTAACTTGAGCTTAGAACTCTACTGGGGGTAAGGGGAACTTTTTTTCTTGAAAGACAAAGAAATAGCTAATGATTTCTTACATTTGCCCTTGCGGAAGAATCCAGTAGAGAAAGCAGACCCCACAATGCCCCCCACCTGACATCAGACCCCGGCTGTAACCTCATATCAGGGAAGAGCGGCCTCCTCAGGCCTCCCGATCAGTCTTCTGTGAGCCAATTGCAGGCAGGCGTAGGTTACTCATTAGCTCCTGGTAGGAAGCACGCAGACCAAGGAATCAACAGAACCTGCCTGACCAGGTCCTCGGAGAGCAGGAGGCTAAGAACTGGCACGGTGTGTCCTTGCATTTACGTGTGGGCGAGCCCCTCTGTACCCACTCAACAGAGGACCCTTTTCCAGGCCCGTCAAGCCAGGTCGCATGACCCTCTTCTAATTCCTCTCCAGCTCCAGAGTTCTCATCATGTTCCCAAACCTCCTTTCAAAACTATCTCTAACCCGGTGATTCTCAAACTCCTTGGTCTCAGGACTTCTCTACAGTACAAAATTGAGGACCCTACAGAGCTTCTGCTCAAAGAGCTTTTTAACTTCTCATTTGACAGACAGTCAAAAACAGTTTATATTTATGATGATCTGTCATATGAGAAGTTAAAGATAAGACATTTTAAAATGTCTGTTAATTCATCTAATAATAATCCATTACATGTTGTTATAAACGGTATTTGTTATGAAAAATAATTTTCCAATACAAAAAATTTTAGTGAGGAGAAAACCAAAAAATTTTAGTGAGAAGAGTGACATTAACATTATTACACCTTTCTCTAAGTCAGAGAGCTTAACAGAAAGATGGACTCTCCTATCTGCTTCTGCATGCAATGTGCTGTGAATCCACATATCACATATCATCTGGAAAACCTCACTGCACATCCATGAGAGGAGGATGAAAAAAGGCAAATCACACCTTGACACTATTATGGAAATCGGTCGGACCTTACTGACCCTCTGCAAGGATCTGGGAACGAAAGAGTGCCAAGGGCACACCTGTAGGGCCACCGTTCTAACTTACCATATGACTCTAAATCTAGTGGGACAAGCTATCTCTGGACTGTTTCCAAACAGTCTTAAAACCACATATTGAACTGCTGATACAAGCAACAATACAGATGAATCTCAAAAGGATTGTTATGTTAAATAAGACATCCAAAAAAGACCATATACTATGTAATTCCATGTCTAAAATTCTAGAAAAGGTAAAACTCTAAGGACAGAAAAACAGAACAGAGAGAGGTTGCCAGGGGCTGGGGGTGGAGCAGATGGACTGTAAGGGCCAGGAGAGGGTCTTGGAGTGATGGAACATACTTTACCTTGATGTGGCTGTGGTTACACGATGGCATACATTTGTCAAGACTCACTCAATTGTACACTTACAATCCATGAACTTTGTCATACGTAAATAATCTCAAAACTGATGTAAATAATAAAGCTGACAAACACCTCAATAAAGCTGATGACAAATATGCACATCCGATAATGTAACTCATTCACTCATTTTCCTGGTTCATTCAGAGATCATCATCGAGAGCCTGGCACTCTGAGGTGGTGGACAGTCAGGGCAGCAAAGGATGGTGCCCACACTTGTGCTGTGCTCACAGCCCAGTGGGCGTTAATCAAGCACAAGGGCCGTGGCAGGCTGGGTGAGAGGTACCTGCTGCTGGGGATACTGTCCAGGGTGATCTGAGCTAGTTGGGCTACCAGGGACAAGGCCATTGGACTGATACAGTAATTTAGGAATACAAGAGTTAACTAGATGGTGGAGAGAACAGTTTAAAATGGCATCGTAAACACCATACATGATCTAGCTTTTCAAAGAGGGTATATTAATCACAATATTGAGGTTCAAAGTGCCAGCTCTGAAGTCTGGTTCAACATCTAACCCATCACTTACTATCTGTGTAATCTTGAACAAGCGATTTAACCTCTCTGAGCCTTGTTCTCCTTAATGCTTGGTAAGGATGACAATGGTACCTCCTTTGTGTAGGTTCCTGGAAGGATTACACACAGTAACACATGCAGACTGCACATGTGAGTCCTTGCACCAAACCTGCAACACATCTTAGCTTCCATCACCAACTCTTTATTCTTGTTAAAGAGCAGGGTCTGACACAGCTCATGGCCCTGGCAGGGAGAAACTGGGAAAATGTGAGAGGTTGGAAGAGGACCAGAAAGACTCAGAACGTTATCCTGAGAGAAAACGAAAAGCCCATAAAAAGAAAGAAGCCTGCAATCAAGTGTGCCACCACTTCAATGCCTGGTGCCTATGCCTGGATCATCTGTGGTTAGTTCTGTGTCCCTCCCACAATCTACTTACTCATCCTTCAGCACCTGCACAGATCTCTGCCCTACTGTAAGGCGTCAAGTGGTTTGCAATTTTGTGCCTCAAGAGAAAGGAAAGCCTATGTCCACACAAAGACTTGTTAAAAAATGTTCACAGCTTCAGCCTGGGCAACAACAGTGAAACTCTGTCTCAAAAAAAAAAAAAAAAGAAAGTTCAGTTTTACTCACAGTAGCCAAAAACAGAAACAACCCAAATGGCCATCAATGAGTGAATGGATAAACAAACCATGGTATGCCCTTAGAATAGACTATAATGCAGCAATAAAATGAAATAAACTATTGATACATGCAACCATGCAGATGAATCTCAAAATAACATGTTAAGCAACAGAAACCACGTGAAAGATGGCCAGGTCACTGGCAGATTTTCACTGACATATGATTTCACCCAAAAGGTATCTCTACTCATTAGCAAAACCACTACAGACACAACACATTTTATTGCACTTCACTTTACTGCATTTTGCAGATACCACATTTTTTTTTTTACAAATTCAAGGTTTGTGGCAACTCTGCACTAAGCAAGTCTGTCAGTGCCATTTTTCCAACATTCCAACAGCATGTGCTCACTTTGTATCTTCGGGTCAGTATTTTTTACCGGTAAAGTTTTTTTGTTGTTGTTTGCTTTGAGATGAGGTCGCATTTTGTCACCCAAGTTGGAGTGCAGTGGCACAATTATAGCTTACTGCAGCCTCTACCTCCCAGATCCAAGCCATCCTCCCACCTTGGCCTCCCAAGTAGCTTGGATCACAAGCATGTGCCACCATACCCAGCCAGGTTTATTTTTTATTTTGTAGAGACGAGGTCTCCCTATGTTGCCCGGGCTGGTCTTGAACTCCTGGGCTCAAGTGATCCTACCATCTTGGCCTCCCAAAGGGTTGGGATTATGGGTGTGAGCCACAACCTCCCAGACTCAAGTGATCCTCCCACCTGAGTCCCCTGAGTAGCTGGGGCTGTTATAGGCACGTGCCACTATGCCCAGCTAATTTTTAAATTTTTTGTAGGGACAGTGTCTCCCTGCGTTGCCCAGGCTGGTCT